TCTTTGATACCTGATACCTGATCCCATCAACACCGCATGATCACACAGGCTGATGTGCTTCTTCCATGTGGACTTTGTTGCTTCTGAGCTAGATGGCTACTTGTTTGCCTTCAAGCCTTTAAGATAAACAAGCGGCCATCTAGCTGAGAAGCAACAAAGCCCACATGGAAGAAGCACATCAGCTTGCCTGATCACAAGGTGCTGAAGGTATCAGGTATCAAAGAACAAAAAATCATATCATTGTGTGCTCACCTCCCCAATACAATCACTGAAGACAAATGGGTACATAAGCAAATGTGATGAAGAAAGCTGATGGTGCCTGGCTATCAAAAGATATAGCGTCTGGAGTCTTAAAGGCTTGAAGGTAAACAAGTGGCCATCTAGCTGAGAAGCAACAAAGCCCACATGGAAGAAGCACACCAGCCTGTGTGACCACGACGTGTGGAAGGGATCAGGTATAAGGCATCATCAGAACAAAAAATCTTACCATAGTGAATGATGGTGGGAGTGCGGAGTGGAGACCCAAAGCCCATTATTATATTTTCATGTCCTAACACTGACCGATGTCTTCGATCACCCACTTTTCTGTTGTCTGTCCCCCTGGGAGAAGGTTATATGTAGATCATTGTGATCCTTTCCACCTTTCTCCCCCACCTTCCCTTTACCCTCCTGGTATCGCTACTCTCATTGTTGGTCCTGGATTCCTTGTGCTTCCAGCTCTTACCTGTACACATGTACATGCTCTGGTCTAGCCAGATTTGTAAGGTAGAATTTTGGAGTCAGTCATGATAGTGGAAGGGCGAGGGCATTAAAGAACTAGAGGAAAGTTGTAAGTTGCATCGGTGCTATACTGCACCCTGACTGGCTCATCATTTCCTTGTAACCCTTCTATGAGGGGATGTCCAATTGTCTACATATAAGCTTTGGGTCTCCACTCCGCACCCCGTCACTCACAATGATATGATTTTTTGTTCTGGGTCTTTGATACCTGATACCTGATCCCATCAACACC